TTACTTTTGGGTCAAGAAAAAGCCTTTGATCGAGTAAATAGAAACAAGCTACGGAAGATCCTGGAGCAATACGACATCAAGGGACAACTGCTATACAACATCAGGGCTATCTATGCCAATAGCAGAAGCGCAGTCCGCACTACCAGAGGAACATCGGACTGGTTTCCAGTAACATCCGGAGTCAAACAGGGCTGCAATCTCTCCCCTCTGTTTTTCATGATCTACATGGACCAGATTACAAAGGAGGCCAATCCAGACCCAGAGGCACTCAATGAACTCATGTTTGTAGACGATCTGGCAATGATGAATAACAAGACCCAGCTACAGGAGCATATGAACCAACTAAATGCAAGCTGCGAGAAATATAACATGCAGATCAGTATTAGCAAGACCGAAGTCATGACAATTAGCAGGAGACCAGACAAAGTGAATATCAACACCAATAGATCCCAACTAAAACAAAGCAGCGAATTCAAATACTTGGGCAGCATTTTCACAGAAAATGGAAAATTAGATTGAAAAATAGAGACTAGGTGCCAGAAAGCCAATGCAGTCAGATATCAACTCGGCCCTTTCCTGAAACATCCCAATATCCCCATGAGCACTAAGGCGAAGATCATCAACGCCATTTTCCTTCCAACACTCACATATCAGTGCCAGACATGGTCCCTAACAAAAGCCCTAGAGAGGAAACTGGTCACATGCGAGATGAAATGCTTAAGAAAAGCGGTCAACAAAATAAGAAGAGACAAAATAAAAAATGAATTTTTGAGGGACACCGTAGGAGCAACTCCAGTCCTACCACACATTGAAAAACAAAACGTCAAGTGGTTCGGACACCTCACACGGATGCCCTCAAACCATCCAGCTCTGAGAGCATACAACATTAAATATTCTGGATGGAGAGCCAGAGGAAGACCAAGGCGACGATGGAGTGAATCTATGGCAGACACCCTCAAAGCTCACGGGATGTCCCTTCTACAGACCACTCGCCTTGCTGCAGACTGACGCCTGTGTCTCCCCGCGACACCCACCTGTACAAGCGGAAGAAAAAAGTAAAAGTAAGTAAGTACATCGTCTGCTCCCCACCCCTCCCCTTTCTCTTTGCTGCTTCAAATCTATCCGCCCCCTCCCCTCTTTCGGAAAAAAATGGCCGTTTTCCCAGCCATTTTCCTAACAGAAACTTTTTGCTTGTCTCCTCAAATTTTACTTCATAGCCCCCTCCACCCTCCACCCTCCAAATCAGACGATGTCTTGTTTAATTTTTATCAGTACTCGTATTGTACAACTGCAACTTTCATTTTGTTGTTTCTACGTTCAATAAAAGGAAATGTGTGAAATTTGTATTAATACTTTAAAAATTCAGTTCTCCACGTTTAGCCTGTAATTACTATCGTAAAACGGATGACGCAGTATAAAAATAACACGCGACACAGACTAGAGCTATGTCCAAGGGGAAAACTACAGATGTATTTTGACTCTGTTCATGGGATAAAGACATAATTTTTATCATAGCATGGCAGTCACCATTAAGGCTTGTAAATGCCCAGGAAGTGGTAAGCGGCTAAATTGCAAGCAAAATGTGTTTGTCAAATATCCCCCCCCCCTTTCCACACACAAAAACCCCCATTAAAAAACTGAAAAATAAAGAGTTAAAAAGACAACAAGAACAAAACAAAACCATCCACATGATGTTTACGTTTGCTCTAACTGAAAGAAAGGATCCAGATGATAGTGGCCCGTGACAGATTTTCCTCTTTTAGGACAGCACTTATAAATCCATGTTTATTAAGAATTAAGAATATGCAATAATACAATCTCAGCACAAAAGCCACTTTGATGCTGTTGGTTACTCAATGATATATTTTCTGGAGCGCTCATCTTTGCGAGTGCTGAAAATACAGGTTCGAAACATTGTAGGGTTTGGGTTTTCCTCATCCTCATGACATGACATTTATTTTTAACTCTGTCCGTTGTTTAATCGAGGGCATTAAGTGCCCCACCTTTGAAATATCACTTGTGGTGTCTAATAATGCATAAAGTAGCAGTATAGTTTACTACAACACAGTAGACATATCAAGAATCAGGGAAGCGGGGGTGAAGTTCTTTGCTCTTTGTCTTTGGAGAAGTTCGACTGTACTTGGCTTTGTCTTATCGGAGATGGATTTTTACTAGATTAAATGACTTTACAGTGTTGATAAAAGTGTAGGCTCCATACTATAATGCATATCAATACGTACTAAAACAACCATGTCGTACTGTATGATCCATACTATATGGCCCATCAATACATAGGCCTACTCTAAAAGAAAAAAAAAATCTCGAATTCTTACACCCTTTTCAGAACGATTTAGATCCTAAAGGCGGGCAGTTTCGACCAAGTTTTACAGGGCCAACTCTGGCTGTGTGGCATAGGCCTATATAACAACAAACACTGTGGCACTCAGTACACAATGTTGTTATTAATATGTCGTTCTTTTCCCTGCGTGGGAATCGAGATCATGTCATGAATTGTTTGCAGAATTGTTTGCAGAGTAAAAAACCTACAGCTTCATTGCAGACTACAGAAAGATTCTTATGGGACATTTCCAGCGCCCCCCCCCCTTCCCCCGGACATAGAAATTGTTAAACATTATGCCCTCTTCCCAAACCTGCCCATTAGGGTGAGCAGATTTATTTTGTTTTAAATGCAACCACCTGTGCACACTTCCTTCCTATCGTAATCATTAGCAGTCATAAAACCGATTTAGTTGAATTCACTCTGGCTTGCAGTGATGATGATCCTTGTTCACCCCCCCCCCCCCACAAGACAGTTTTGATCCTGGGTCTTTTGGGGGTATTTTCAAGGCTTTCCATCTATAGTCGAACCTTCTCCAAGACAATCATCGACAGTCCTACTGTATAAACGACCACGTCCCTCTTCGCTCCTGATGGCCTCTTTTCTCCTCGACAATGAATAGAGGTCTTGGAGAAGTTTGAATGTACATGACTTTGTCTTATCGGATTGTAAGATTTAATGACCATGCCGTGTTGATTAAGGTGGAGGATCCATACTATAGGGCCTATCATTATATCTGG